AGCCATGCCCTGACTTAGATCAGCCCAGAGGTTGTTTCAGGGTTCAACATTCCAGATGTGTTTTCTCATGTAGATTGTTTCACATCACAATTTATATTTATTAAATTCTCATTTTTCTCTATATTCGTGTTCTTTTATTTCTTAATTTCCGTTTATACTTTTCATATATCCACATTATCTTGTACTATAGCAGTAGCCACATGCAGTCTTTGACTGCCTATTTCTCTTTAAGAATAATGAGCTGTCTTCCCCCAACTCAAAAATTCCATCAAAAGCTAATTATCTTAATTTGGAAAGCTTTCTTGCTGCGCGTAGATGGATGTGTGTCTAGCGGTGGATAGTTTTGGCATTGGCATTCTTCTAGTCTTGTCTGATATTTGTGGTTCAAAAAGCCATGAATAATTTATGAGCATCTAGACCTATCAGGTTCTTCAAACCCATCACGTGCATGGATCTTTATGCCTGATAATAGTTCAACATGGATATCTTTATATAAAGATTTTGAAATCTTTATAAAGAGTACAAGAGCATGTCACGAATAAGGACCCTAAATGCTCATTAATTATGCATGAATTTTTGAAGTCGTTCAAAAAACTMGCAGATCGTGTTTTATCGGGCCTAAAACCACTCGGCTACCGCTAGTGGTTTTTTTTTACTTCTGCTCATTTATTAAACTATACTTTATGAATGTCTTTCATAAGTGTTGTTGTGAGTCTGGCTGTGTTGGTGACTCTTCTGTAATATTTCATTTTCTTAATATTTAATGGAAAAGTAATTAGAAAATTGCAATTATCCAAAGAGGCTTTTAAAAAGGAAAAAACTCCCTGTCACACGCAAGAAGTATTCTTCAATCTGAAAACAACTGTTCTTTAATTAATTAGCTAATTTAGCCATAATAGCACTAAAAATCTTTTACCCAGGTATGAATGTACATGACTCCACCAGACAAAATGGTAAGTTGCRAAAAGATTTACGCTTGGCAGGCTTTTTGATTGATGAAATGATGAAAGACGTGAGTAAATACCTACTGCATTTTGCCGGCATTCATTCTAGTAACCATTAATGGTAATAGTTATTATTGTTATTATTATTATTATTATTATTA